TAGAGAGGGAATTATGACCCGTTTCATTTACTAACATAAGCTATAAGCAGCTTATATTCCCATTAAATCATTAAACTACTAATGACAAGATTTTAATAATGCAAATTAAATAAAAATACAATCTTTACTTTCCGTATTATTTGCTTGTTTTTAAGCAAATAGCTGCTTTAGATGACAATAAAGTAAAAGAATAACATTTAAAATGTGCTGTTGAAAGAGATGTTTGCTGAACAAGTCTGGAGCCACTTGTACCAAGTGCTGTAAAAAAGGAAAAAGAACTGATTTGTATCAGCAAACATGGCTCATTTATGATCAGCAATCAGATTCGGCTGCAAAAAAAATAAACGTGATGCAGCATCTCTAAAAGTTGCGCGCGCACACACACACACACACACACACACACACACACACACACACACTTTTTCTGCTGATCCGTGACTCAAAACCGTGAACGCGATCCAAAGCTTGCATTTTGTGATCTGTTGCACTCCTACGAGAAATACGATACTCAGAAAAAAAACTAAAACGCTGACAACACAATGGGCTGAATCTCCACCATGCCTGCAAAACTATGCGGTTGTCGGTACAAGTAAACACACCGATTCTCAATAAGGCCACCGTGTGAAACATTACCAGAGAAGCCACACCATCAGGGACTTAACACAATGTTTTTTTTAGTTTCTTTTTTAAATACAGCCACTTGACTGAGCACTCTGCGCACACACAGATGAGATCAGGCAGGGTGATGTGGTGCACTCTGGGTAGATGAGGTTTTTGGGCTAACTGTTTGAGAAACGCTCCAAAGACTATTTCTGGCTGCTGCCTCTCCTCCGTTTAGTTCAAAGCGCCTCACCCAAGTGAAATATAACTGACCACGAGGGCCTTCAGCAGGGTAATGTTGCATTCATGAGTGCTACTAATTATTCTTGAACAAGCATAACGCTCGCCTCTCTAGAATCAGCAGTGTGGGGTGGGGGGGGGGGGTTCATTAACACATTGGCGCCTTTGAATCCAACCGGCCGCTGGCACGGTTGCAACCCCTCCAATTAGTCGTGGTTCCTTGGGCCAGGACAACGGGCATCCGGGGTCAGCCGGCATGCCTGGCATTCCTCCGCTGCCGGTACCGACAGCAGCAGCGCCGAACGCGGGAAAAGAAAAATGGCCCCCAGCGGTTGGGGAGGGAGGCACGGTGCAGCAGAAAAGTAAGTGCTAAATATTGACTCCCAGCGGTCTCTGTGGAGTTTTTTGCGTTATCGGTATCAAGATAAAACACACCACAACATATCTGTGTTACCCTGCAGAGAGGAGCAGCAGAGCTCCCACTGGCCTCGATGAGAAACCCCATGACTACTGCTTCCTGAAAAACATCCCCTTTGCCAAAAGGAGTGAACACTTTGCTTTCCATTACACATGGAGGACCATGTGTGGAACAATCTTTGCACGAGGGGCAGAGTCCTGCTTTACTCTGAGAGAGAGAGAGAGAGAGAGAGAGAGAGGGGTAAAAGATTGAAAGTGCGGCTACATTTTATGCCAGTAAATGCTGAGAACTGTCGTCTCAAATGCAATAAAACCCTCAAAGTGAGGTAACAAACAGTCTATCAAAATATGGTCCTCAAGCAGAACATCAATGCTCAGTTTTCTACTGTCTACCTCATCCACTGCAACGTTAGCGATGCCATACAGAGTTTGATAATAAGTACAGACTAATCAATGAAAACTAAATCACTCAGCTAAATCTTTAGCGGCAATTGTATTTTAAGGATTTGGGAACTTTTTGTGTAGATTGTCGGGTGCGGCTACATATGAATAATAAAGCAATATCGATTATTTTATTATTGTCCTTTTTTCCCCTCACAAAATAATCAAAAAGTACCAATAAGAGTATCGATAAGGAACCAAACGGATAAGCAGTATTGCTAATAGTACTAGTATGGATAAAATCCTAATGATGCTCATCCCTAGACACTAGTAGACACCGGTATGAACAATCATAACAGTGAAGGTTGTTGATCACCATTAAGGTTCTTGATTCAACGTCTCACACTCATTATACGCAGACTGCGGTACCTGATTCATAAACAGGCTGACCCCAGTAAACAAAGAGTGTCAACACAATTGAAGCTGTATCTTATCAAATCCTTTCAGCCTGTTCATCAACTGACTATCATTTACCCTAATATTTTGGGTTTTATCGGTTAACTGCTTGAATTGATGACGCAGCTCCACAAAGACAGACCGATCAGACACCAGGATGGTGTGTTTTACATGCCACATCATTCTGCTGTCTATCGCAGCGGGGCTGCAGCTGATTATCATTTTCACCACAGATTAATCTGTCCATTTGTTTCTCAATTAATGGATAGGGAAACCTGATCACAATTAACCGCCATGACGTTAGGGAAGCCTCCCGAGCGACCGATCCGTTTCAGACCTAACCGGCCGGTGCTTCAATGGTTACTGTGTGGTTTTTTGGTAGTGGTGTGGGCCAGCCGGACCCTCGCAGTGGAAAGCTGACTAATCGAGGAATTGCTTTGTCGTTTTAGTTCTATGTTGACAGGTGGCATATCTCAAAGTGGGATAAGGGCTCGCTGTGGGTTTCTGTAAGAAAAAGGACATAATGTTTCCATCCACACATAACAGGGATACTCCAAACAACGCTGCTGCTCAGATCTGAAAAAAAAAAAAAAAAAGGCTGGTGACAGAGCTAGGATGAGCCTATAAGGCGAGAGGATGACTGAGGCTGCTGGGATGAGGAGAGTAATAGTGACACCACCCAATTTTGCCCTGCTGCCAGCGAGAGGATGTGTGCGAGCACGTGCAGATGCTTTTGTGTGAACGCTGCTGAAGCTGCAGGGTGTGGTGCTGAAACGCTGGAAAGCAATGTGACACACCGAAGTGTCAAAGGCACCAGGTGCTCTGATTCAAATCACATGAATTCTCCTGTGAATGGACATATCGAAGACGATATGCAGCCTGGAGACCCGCGCGACGCGCATCTGAAATGTCCACCGATTGTCCTCATCGGTGGGGTCAAATTATCTGCGTTTTTTTTTTTTTTTTTTTTTTTTTAAATATCGTATTCTTTTGTGATGGAAATGATGTGGCTTCGACAGTGGACCCACGCCATGGCAATCTCCATTGATGAACATTCCTCTCCCTACGTGTCCTTGAGACCACATACCAATTTCATAAGCAGCCTCCCGTCTGAGGCAGCGATGGGGTATATGAGGACACGACCTCATGCTTTTAGAAGGGGGGGAGGTTCTCATAAGATCGTAATGTATACCGTTTGAAAAGCACGCTCCTTCACTCACTCTGATGAGTCTCTCTCCACACAAAGGAATGTCACACAAAGGAAGCGCGTGAGTCAATAGGAAGAAGGAGAGAAAAAAAAAAAAAAAAAAAAAAAAAAACTATCTGCTGTTTGTACCTGAGAGAAATTCTCGTGCAATGCGCTGACCGCTGGAACAAAGAAAAGCGCACGCGGTTCCATTGCGAAATGAAAATAATAAAAAAGCAATCTCCGCGTAATGAGAGCGCGAGCATTATTGTGGAGCAGCGGCTGTGGTTGCTGTATCAGTGCCGTCCTCTAATGAGGAGCTACACATGCAGAGTCCAATTCGCAAACCTTGCGGAGGTAATTGAATAGCGCTTATCGGCGACCATAAACACCCCATCACAAAACGGCTCAACACTCCTCCGAGCGCCTTTAGGAGACTCGCCTATTCGGCATGATTGAAAGAGGCCACGCGCGTTAAGTGTCTCCTATAAACGCGCCAGCCGCAGCCCTCATCCACCTACACGTAGGGCTATGTCCAACGACGGGTTTTAGTCAAACGATGTGCCGTTTGGAAGGGTGTCAACCGAATGCAATGGAAAACGTCAACAAAGCGACAAACTATACTTCGATGGTGCAAAGCAGAATTGGTACATTTTGAATGAAGTTTGGCGCACCCGGTCGTTGTGTATTGTTAAACTTGGGGAACGGAAGCACGTCTTTCGACATCAAACTGTTCACCCGCGGCTGTCCACAGGTCTCATGTTGGAACCGCTGCCACCATCACCTCAGAGAAACTGAACGGTCGTTTAACGTAAAGCGAAACATGGAATGTAAAAATCAACAACGTCTAAACTCCGTTATAGTTCAACGCTGCGATACAGCTAGCGGGCTAACGTGATGGTGCAGAGAAGTGAAGTTAAACAGCGAGTGAAACCACCAGTTCACACTGCGAACAGCTCGTTAACTCACTCATTAGACAAGAGGGGGACGCGGGGCGGAAGACGTAACTACTCTCGACATTAGCTCGCGACATAGTGAGCAATTTAAGCGCCCACTTTACTCAGAAAGAGTCCAGATATCGATACAAACGTTGCCGAGCGAGGCCGTCGGTGTCGTAGCATCCGAGGTGCAAACGCGAAGTGAAACAATGTTGCAGAGATAACGGGAACCTGCAAAGAGGCACTCGGTCCCGAGGAAACGCAAACTTGCGCAGTTCAACTAACCTACGTGCCCCGAGATAATTTGCTCCCAAAACTAGGTAACTGAACAACCAGTGTTTGACAAACAAATACAAAGCAAACATCCACTTTGTGATTCTGCCAACTTTGTTGTTGCAAAGCTGAGGACTGTTCCTCCGGACGGGCTGCGGTGCTCTTTGTTGGCAAAGCAGAATCCCAAAAGCTGAGCCAGAATCCAGCCGAAGGGAGGCCAGCTTTGATCCCGGGCTGGAGCCGTCCGCCCTTTTTAAGCCCAATGTGACTTCTAGCTGCCTGCTCCTTTTTCTCCCCCCCCAGACAATAAACATTCCTCAGACAGGCAGCAGCAGGCTGGCCGCCGACCCTGCGCCATCTTAGTTAGGCACACTCTCCGCTTCTTCAGGCTTCTTGAACAAAGAGCGTTTTCTGGCAGAACTGGTCCGATCCGAGAGTGCAACTTCCGAGAAAGACGCGAGAAAAAAAACGAAGCACAACTCTAAATTGTCCGTTTAAGGGACACTTACCGGTGTTTTCTTGTATCCTTGTCCCGAACAGGAGGACGAACAGAAGGCATGGTATTGCATCCATCGTGGCTACGGACCGGACTGGCAGCCGACTGCTAACTTCTCCCAGCGCTGAGGAAGGTAGACGCTGATTGGCTAAAAGGGCCGCGAGTTCCGCCTCCCTAGCGCGAGCTCGGTGAAGGAACAGTGCTGATTGGCGGAGGGACCTACCACACCCCGCCCCACTTTAGCAACTCTACCACTGCTGTAAACAAACACTGTTGCTATTCACTGTAAAGACAAAAGTATACATTCATCAAGTTACATTCATATTAAGGTCTTCCTCTATAATATATGTGTTTTGATTCATGTTTTGTTTTGTTTAGTTTAACGACTGGAGTTATTTGTTGTGAGCAAAACAAATAACTCCTAATATTATTATATATAATTGTAATACTTTTAACTATTTCAGTCTGAGATTTACTGCTTTTCAGTCTGGACACATAGGAAACACTCCAACATATCAAAGGATCAACATACAGGATGTGTATGTTTCTCTGACTATTGCTTACACAGCCTTGCTTTAAATAGAAACATACACAGAAAAGTAGTCTTTGTGATGTGTGTGTGGGTGGGTGGGTGGGGGGGGGGTCAGCAAGGAAGATGACGCGTTTTGTCAGACAGAAAGAACATGACACAGTGGCTCTCACTGAAGGAAACATACCATAATAACAACATCAGCAGCAAAACGGAGATACCATTCTTACTGCTGCCACTCTCTGCAGATAAGATATGATTCAATGACATGCTGTGGCTAGGCCTGTGTGCATGGTCCATATGTCAGTCTTTCACACACACACACACATACAGAGGCAGATGCTCTATCTCGGCAGCGTACACACACACATCCCTCGTCATTGTTCTTAAGCCTATAACCCTTCCTTTGTTTTGTCCACATTTACTCCATTTCTTAGAGTAGACACACACACACACATACACACACTCTCGCTCTTGACCTGGCCCCCATTCCCCCTCCTCCCTAGTCCCTGGAGAGTGTGACAGGGATTGATGATGGCCTATTATTTGATGTCCAACTGAGCCCTGCACGGCCCTGCATGCACACACACACACACACACACACACACACACACACACACACACACACACACACACACACAAATAGGCTGGTACGCTGTCATACAAATATTTTGTTGCTGTGCCTAAAAGATGGGAAATAAGAATTAAGCTGCCGGTCAAATGAACAGAGCAACAGAAACAGGAGAAAATAAATAGAATCTTATTTCAAATCCTGAATATTATATTTACTTAAACGGATGTTGCATAGGAAACCCTAACACCCCACCCCCCTAAGACACACACACTCTCACAAAGGCAGCACCTGCTCTGAGCAGTAATCAAACACTGCTCATGTTTTAGGCCTTGTGCCTGTCTCATTTGCATTTACAATTTTGGCATTTAGCTGACGCGTGCATCCGGGGTGACTTGCAATATGTGGAACAGTAGAAAACGCTCCGTCATTCAAATTCAATGCTGCCGTCTTAAAGCCAGGGCAGGCGATTTATATAGAAGTATTATTTTTATTATATTTGTAGAAATTCTCTTTACATACCAACAGCGATCGATTAATTAAATGCTCCGACAAAAAATAAAGAGAAAAAAAACGTGGTATCTGTTGCTGTACTGTCACTGTAGTCTTGCACAATGAAAAACAGCTGTTGCTAGCTAGCCAGCAATAAGTTACTGCATCTAGGGCTGCACCTAATGATCATTTTTTCATTGATTCATCGAATGATATTTTTTTTTCAATATGTCTAATTAGTCTAACAGCTAATTTATTGATTATGCTCAAGACAAATCTTTGAAATCCCGATTAATATACTAATAATTTACCCAGAGTAAATATCAAAGAGGACATTGATAATCCTGATGTATCATGCTTTGGGGACAATAATGAAACAGGACACTTTGCTGTCTTGCTCCCGAGGAATGCATTCTTTGACTGGGCTTTGAATCAAGTCGGAAGTGCCAAAAGCTGCAGTTCCACAAATGGCCACTTGAGGCTGGCATCGATAAGCGAGTCAATCCCCACAGAGGAATGTTAAAATGTCCAACTTTACAGCTCAAACAAACATGTTTACATTCTGGTACGAACAAGAGAGGTGGTCAGACATCCTGTTGCCAGGACAACAACTTCCATCCCAATGTCAGCAAAACCAAGGGGCTGATTGTGGAGGACAGGAAGAGACAAGGAGAAAGACCCGTCCTCCATCTCCATCAATGGGACCACTGTCAGTACCGCAGCATCCGGTCCCACACCACCAGGCTCAGGGACAGCCTCAGACTGCAGACCATGAGACTGCTCAACTCTGCCGACACAATTTTGTCCAAACAAATTGATATTATTTGATTTCTATATTTGATTTGTTTATATTTTAGCTCTTTATTTTGTGTGTCTGAGGTTCAGATTTTGCCTTTACTTGCAGGATTTTCCCTTCGTACATATTTAATGAGCATTGTTGGAGGGTGCCTGAGGCCTACTTTCATTGCCAAGGACTGCTCCTCTGTAATTGCTGCACAAGTGAATAAAGAACTCAAAACTCTCACACCATTCATTATTTCCTGCAATCCTACAGAAAATGTATTCAAACACATCTGCAATATTTTACAAATATAAATGATAAATGATAAATAGACCAAGTATCGTTGACACGACAACAACGATTTTAGGAACACTGAGGTCATTCGGCCCTCCAGCGCACTGTGTTTAAAGCTGCAGTTGGTGAAATTTATTTTCAAAAAATAATTTACAAAAAAAAAAAGAATTCTCATATTTTCACAAACTGTCACTATGTACTGACAGTAGTACATGAAACGGATAATCTGTTGAAACAATCAGATGGAATAGATTCGAATTGATTTTAAGGTTTTACTGATCACTTTAACGCACGTATAGGTCTGGCCCCAACATAGCCTTAGATCCTCGGGTGGGGCTTCAAAGGCGACCGTGTTTTTGCCATTAGGACCCCTCGGCTTTGGAACGACCTGCCTGAGGAGATGAGGGTCTCAGAATCAGTAATCTTTTTGAAATCACTTCTTAAAACCCATCTTTATAGACTTGCTTTTGTGTGATGTCTCTGTTGTTGTCCTCACTGTTTGGTTTTCTTTACAGCGCCTTGTATCTTGCTTTTGCTGTGCTTTGTCTGTCAAAGCATTTTGGAAAATTGCTGTGATTCAAAAGAAGATGACTAGAAAGACAACAATTAATAACAAAAATGATTCATTCTTTCCCGGAATTTCAACACTGCTTTGAGATTTGGTGCGGATTGGTGTTGCCACCATCGGGCCAAAACTTTCCCCTTGACGAGCACTTGCAACCCGAGTGAAAGAGTGAATTAGGCATTACATTTAGGAACGGCCTCAGAGTAGCGAGGCTGGTTGTCAGTTAACATGTTACGATACATTTCCTCCAACATGTATTTGCTGTTGCATATTAGTTGTATAAATACATTGGCTGATTCGTGTTCCCCACAGGATGAATTGTAATGTTTTTTGACCCTTTGATCTTACCTTTAGCATTTCTGTCCCGATCTTCCACATTTACACAATATCAAATGTATAAAAATATAAGTATATATACATATCAAAAATTCAAGATTGATACAATTTCCTCAGAATAATGATTATGATAAGCTGCTTGCAGGACTTTATTTGTTTATCTTGCATCTTTAACCGCTGCTCTGATCAGACACTGCGGCTCTTGCAGTATTTCATTAATATAACATCCGAACTAACAGTGTTGTGTAATATTCTACCGGGCAGCAACGGGGTCCTCTTCCAAAGTAACCTCCAGGCGGAGCATTTAACACCTTTTTATGGCACGGCATTAATTCCTTGGCACGGTCCTTGCCTATGGGATCATGTTCCTTGTATGCTGCCTTTGCAGTTACTTGCTTTGAAGAGCAACTGATATATGGAATCATCTTCCATACTTCTCCTCATGACTAATAACCTCGCTGGGAGGTGGACGCTTTAGAAACCTCGCTGCCGCTAGATGACACACCGAGGGATCTCTGTGCTGATTGTGAAGAGGAATATTAAGAGTCTGAGGATGGATGGCAGGGGGGCAAAGTAGGAGGGTGGGGGGGGGGGGCAGACTAAAAAGCATCTCAATATTCCCCAGATGTCATTTTTTCGTCTGAAGCCAAAAGTGGCATATTATGCCTAACACCTCTTTTCGCGGATGGGTCTGCAGCAGGGGTAATCAGTAATCAGTCTACTCATTTACATTATGCATGGCTCTCAGACGCCGTAGTGTAAAAAGTATTTAACAGTGAGTAGGGCGGGGGGGGGGGGGGGGGGGGGG